TGTATGAAAGGCACCAGATACGGGGTGGGAAGTAGGCCTGCTGTCCTGGAAGATTTCCCAAAAATACCGGTAAGTTGCAACTGGTACTTTCCTCAAGTCATCTTCCAGGATGGCACACCTGAGGAACTCAAGGAACTCAGGTCTACCTTAGGGTGGTACCACTACCTGTTATACTTTCCTGCCGAACGCCAGGTCCCGAGATGACAACTCTACCCTGTAGTGTCTCACGAAGGTGCCCTGGCTTGTCCATGTGGCTGCTCGCCAGATCTGCTCAAATCGATGCTCCGGCCTTCTCCGCCCAAGAGGTCGCTGGCGCTCTAGTACAGTGAGCCCTCACGTGTGAGGGAACTGAAACCCCTGCCTGCTCAGAAGCTAAGGAGATGGCTTGTCTAGTCCATCTAGCTATTGTTGGCTTTCAGTCCCTTCCTTGGGCCCTTAACCAAAATCAGAAGGTGGCTCGACTTCCTGAAGTCACTCACTCTATTCAAATATGTCAGTAAACATCGCCTGACATCTAAAAAAAAACCCTTTCATTCCTTGGGTTTTGACAGAAAGATGACAGGACAATCACGTGTCCTATGAAACCATAAGGCCACTTTGTGGTAAATAAAGAGGATCCTAAGTACTACCCTGTCCTCTCCTCTTCTGACTGGGCTTTGCCTTAGTTCTTGGTACCCCAAGAGACGTGGTCAATTACTCTACGCATCCAAGTGTCACCATTTCTAGCGACGTAGGCGGATGCCAGGGCTGAGGCCATAGTAGCGGCATTGGCATATCAGGGTCTACGCAACATGGTCTCGGACCTAAGGTCCATCTGATCTCTGATGTTACCAGAGCCTCAAAGAACAGGTCAGACTTCTTAGATACTTGCAATAACACCATCTAATTTGGGAGTTTTGAGGAATTTCTCTTCCTCTTCTTCCCCAAAGGGGTACCCCCTCCTCCTGGTCTTCAATTTTAGGACCTCTCTCTTAGAATCCTTCCACTCTCAGGACAATATCTTTGAGAGTTTGGTGCATGGGTAGCGCCCTAGCATGCAGCCTCACCAACCCCCAATATATCTCATCCTGGGCTGAGATCTGCATTGGTGGTTCTGGAATGTCCTCCGAGGAATAGATAGCCCTTAGGAGCCCATCCATATCTGCCAGGGCAAAAAGGAGTCTACCCGGTCTAGATTCCTCGCTAGCCCGACTCGCAACTTCCAAATTTTTGCCTTCTTCCAGGGACCTTTGGCCAGAAATCTCTGCCTCCTCTAAGACTTCCTCCTCTATGACCTGAGAGGATGAGGGTCCAAAATCTCCCACTGCTTAACCCTCTAAGACTTCCTCCTCTGTGACCTCAGAGGATGAGGGTCCCAAATCCCCCACTGCTTAGCCGCCCAAGCTCCGTCCTGGGAAGAAGACCCTTCCCTAGAGGATCAGGCATCCACCTCCCTGGATGTCAGGGCTGTCTTGAAGGATTGTAAGGTGGCTAATAGAGATGAGCGAATCAAAGTATCCGAAGTGGAATTCGAGTCGAATATCGGAAAAATTTCGATTCGTGCCGAATCCGAAAAATAGCCTAATTCGGACGCGCGAATCGAAATTTTCAGAAAATGGCGGCTGACATGTGCGGCGACGGAGCGGGGATGTCTGGGAAGGCGCGCAGACAAGGCGCGCTGACCCATAATGCATTCCTCAACTACATGTGATCGCATCAGCCAATCAGCAGCCAGCCAGCCAGCACTGTGTAATGGTCGAGCTATAAATAGCGGCCATTTTGGAATTCTTAATTTGCCTGCAGTCATTGAACAGAGGCAGACCGCTCTGTACTAGGGACAGGGACAGAGTTAGGGCCACAGAAACGATAATTGGGGACAGAGAAAAGTTACTTAGGGACAGAGAACCATTACTCAGGGACACAGACTTGTTAATGAGGGCCACAGAATCGTTATTTAGGGACAAAGAAACGCTAGTTAGGCCCACAGAATTCATACTCAGGGACAGACAGAATTGTTACTGAGTGCCAGAGAATTGTTACTCAGGGCCACAGAAACTTTACTTAGGGCCACAGAATTGTTACTCAGGGACAGACAGAATTGTTACTGAGTGCCAGAGAATTGTTACTTAGGGCCACAGAAACTTTACTTAGGGCCACAGAATTGTTACTCGCACAGACACAGAATTGTTACTCGCACAGACACAGAATTGTTACTGAAGGCCACAGAACTGTTACGTAGGGCCACAGAATTGTTACTCGCACAGACACAGAATTGTTACTCGCACAGACACAGAACTGTTACTGAGGGCCACAGAACTGTTACTTAGGGCCACAGAATTGTTACTCGCACAGACACAGAATTGTTACTCAGGCCACAGAACTGTTACTTAGGGACAAAGAAACGCTAGTTAGGGCCACAGAATGCATACTCAGGGACAAACAGAATTGTTACGGAGTGCCAGAGAATTGTTACTCAGGGCCACAGAAACTTTACTTAGGGCCACAGAATTTTTACTCAGGGACAGACAGAATTGTTACTGAGTGCCAGAGAATTGTTACTCAGGGACAGACAGAATTGTTACTGAGTGCCAGAGAATTTGTTACTTAGGGCCACAGAAACTTTACTTAGGGCCACAGAATTGTTACTCGCACAGACACAGAATTGTTACTCGCACAGACACAGAACTGTTACTGAGGGCCACAGAAACTTTACTTAGGGCCACAGAATTGTTACTCGCACAGACACAGAATTGTTACTCGCACAGACACAGAACTGTTACTGAGGGCCACAGAACTGTTACTTAGGGCCACAGAATTGTTACTCGCACAGACACAGAATTGTTACTCAGGGCCACAGAACTGTTACTTAGGGACAAAGAAATGCTAGTTAGGGCCACAGAATTCATACTCAGGGACAGACAGAATTGTTACTGAGTGCCAGAGAATTGTTACTCAGGGACAGACAGAATTGTTACTGAGTGCCAGAGAATTGTTACTCAGGGACAGACAGAATTGTTACGGAGTGCCAGAGAATTGTTACTCAGGGACAGACAGAATTGTTACGGAGTGCCAGAGAATTGTTACTTAGGGCCACAGAAACTTTAATTAGGGCCACAGAATTTTTTACTCAGGGACAGACAGAATTGTTACTGAGTGCCAGAGAATTGTTACTTAGGGCCACAGAATTGTTACTCGCACAGACACAGAATTGTTACTGAAGGCCACAGAACTGTTACTTAGGGCCACAGAATTGTTACTCGCACAGACACAGAATTGTTACTCGCACAGACACAGAACTGTTACTGAGGGCCACAGAACTGTTACTTAGGGCCACAGAATTGTTACTCGCACAGACACAGAATTGTTACTCAGGGCCACAGAACTGTTACTTAGGGACAAAGAAACGCTAGTTAGGGCCACAGAATTCATACTCAGGGACAGACAGAATTGTTACGGAGTGCCAGAGAATTGTTACTCAGGGCCACAGAAACTTTACTTAGGGCCACAGAATTTTTTTACTCAGGGACAGACAGAATTGTTACTGAGTGCCAGAGAATTGTTACTCAGGGACAGACAGAATTTGTTACGGAGTGCCAGAGAATTGTTACTCAGGGCCACAGAAACTTTACTTAGGGCCACAGAATTTTTACTCAGGGACAGACAGAATTGTTACTGAGTGCCAGAGAATTGTTACTCAGGGACAGACAGAATTGTTACTGAGTGCCAGAGAATTGTTACTTAGGGCCACAGAAACTTTACTTAGGGCCACAGAATTGTTACTCGCACAGACACAGAATTGTTACTGAAGGCCACAGAACTTTTACTTAGGGCCACAGAATTGTTACTCGCACAGACACAGAATTGTTACTCGCACAGACACAGAAACTGTTACTGAGGGCCACAGAACTGTTACTTAGGGCCACAGAATTGTTACTCGCACAGACACAGAATTGTTACTCAGGGCCACAGAACTGTTACTTAGGGACAAAGAAACGCTAGTTAGGGCCACAGAATTCATACTCAGGGACAGACAGAATTGTTACTGAGTGCCAGAGAATTGTTACTCAGGGACAGACAGAATTGTTACTGAGTGCCAGAGAATTGTTACTTAGGGCCACAGAAACTTTAATTAGGGCCACAGAATTTTTACTCAGGGACAGACAGAATTGTTACTGAGTGCCAGAGAATTGTTACTCAGGGACAGACAGAATTGTTACTGAGTGCCAGAGAGAATTGTTACTCAGGGACAGACAGAATTGTTACTGAGTGCCAGAGAATTGTTACTTAGGGCCACAGAAACTTTAATTAGGGCCACAGAATTTTTACTCAGGGACAGACAGAATTGTTACTGAGTGCCAGAGAATTGTTACTCAGGGACAGACAGAATTGTTACTGAGTGCCAGAGAATTGTTACTCAGGGACACAGAATTGTTACTCAGGGACACATAATCGTTGAATTAAAGAGTATGTCAGACAACATGCAGAGGAGTGGCAGAGGAGGCAATGTTTCAGGAGCGAGCAGACGTGGCAGCAGAGGAAGGGGTCGAGGCAGCACTATTCGCAGCCAGAGGCCAGTGCTCCCGGTGTCATCCAGCGGTCGTGTCTCCACCGACAACCCTGCCGTCATTGATTGGTTGGCTCGGTCGTCTTCCTCTTCCCAGGTCACCTCTGACACCTACAGCCAACGGTCGGTGGGTACGTCAGACACAACCGTTAGTTGGCAATGGCCCGGGAGCAAGCCCACTGAAATCACGTGTCCTCTACCTGCCCCTGTCCTTTGCTGTTCCCTCACCAAGCGAAGTATCGCATGCTGTGGGCTCAGCCCCACTGTACAGTGAGGAAGAGCTAACAGAGGGCGGTCAGGAACGGGGGAGACATCGGCCTTTTCAGCAGCCAGGCGAAGAAGTACTGGCGAGGAGAGTGACATAGGGTGCTGGCAGATTACGGACCTCCCATAGCTGCTGCCAGGCCCTAATACTGCCATGGGCCCCTATACCGCCTCCTCATGCTGCTGCCAAGTCCAGAGTCTCTCATGGGTCCCTGTACGGCCTCCCATTGCTGCTGTCTCCATCGCCACACTCTGCCATGTGCCACTTTCAGGTCTCCTCACACACTGCTGGTGTGTTGAATTTTTTGACATAGGGTGCTGGCAGATTACGGGCCCCCTATAGCTGCTGCCAGTTCCCTAATCTGCCATGGGCCCCTATATACCGCCTCCTCATGCTGCTGCCAAGTCCAGAGTCTCTCATGGGTCCCTGTACGGCCTCCCATTGCTGCTGCCAGGAGGCAGCAGGGTCGCAGCAGTGTCAGTGGAGGCAAACGGCCACGGAGTAGAGCACCAGCTACACTGCAGCCTACCACCACGGCCAGTAGTGGTGCCGGTGTGCACGGAGGAAGCAGCAGTCAGCCAGTGAGGAGTAGCGGAGGCAAAGTTTCCTACTCTGCGGTGTGGCAATCAAGCGCCGAGGAAGTAAACGTAGCCGTTATGTCGACTATGTGGCCAGAAAGTCAAGCGTGGCCAGGGGGCCCATGTTGGGACTACAGCGTTGCGTCAGCATATGCAGCGTCGCCATTCGGTGGCCTGGGAAAACCGTGATAAAGATACGGCGGTTCTGCCTGCCCCAGCCCAGGGTTCCATTTTGTCATAAGGTGCTGGCAGATTACAGGCCACCCATAGGTGCTGCCAGGCCCCAAATCTGCCATGGGCCCCCGTACCGCCTGGTCACGCTGCTGCTGGCCCACAGTGTGACCTGGGTCCCTGTACCGCCTCCCATTGCTCCCACTCTGCCATGTGCCACTTTCAGGTCTCCTCACACTCCTGCTGGTTTCCATTTGTCATAGGTTGCTGTATGGCCTCCCATTGCTGCTGCCTCCACCGCCACACTGTGGCTCCAAACACTGTTTTGGCCCCGTGACTGGCCAAAGGAGTGAAGTGTGCGGTGATTCTAAGATCGACGGCACTCATCTGCATGTCATACTGACTGACAGTATTATTTCTCTTCCCCAGCAGACTCCAAGGGCATTTAAATTAAAGGTACAGTGTCCTGCACTAATATTAAGTCTCTCTGAAGCTAGAAACACCCTTTTTTAAGTTAAATTCACAGCGAATTTATTCGACTCGAATCGAATATTGTCCACGAATTCGCCGAATCAGTCGAATCGAATTTTCATATTTCTTCGCTCATCTCTAGTGGCTAACATTTCCGTTTGCACCGACAAACTCCTTCATAACCGCCGAGGTTTCTTTTCCTGACAACTTGTGGATACACTTGTAGCAAAAAGGGTCCGGCCTGGTCTTGTGGGACTTTATTACAATAACCACACTGTTTAGACCGGGGGGGCTTTAGCTTTACGTGTTTTGCAGGCACTCGCCCAGGGAGTTCCACACGGCTCGAAGGAGAAATAACAGAGCCCAGGTTAACTTAAAGTGGACCTGGGCTCGAAAATAGGAAGACTTGCATCTTACAGGAAATATCTAGAAATGCAAACTGTGCCTAGGCACTACCCTAACACAATACCCATGATCTTCCAATTCCTCCTGAGAAAGAGCAGTGCACTTCCTGTGCCTAGGCACTCCTGTTCTGAATGTGATTTGGAGTGAGATTTCGTATTGACCACTCATCATTCTGCTTGCTGGAGGGGAAGCAGCACCTGAGGATCTGCAGCACAAGGATATCCCTACTCCCTTCTTCCATTTTGCGGCTCTGTGCTTCTTTCATCCCTCCCCTGCTGGATAGTAAGTTGTATCTGATAACGGGCATCACATGACCACAGGTTATGGCAAGAATAAAAATGGGCATTCAGATTAGGGTTTATGGCTATTAGATAAAGGTGTGTGTATGGATTGGGGGGGGGGGGGAAATCAGGGGTTGATAGTGGCTCCAGTGTAGGGCTTTAACCATTGAAGGATCAGATGGGCAAGATCACCAATAGCCTACCGCCCCCCTGAGATGCCATCTTTTCTGGATCCTAAGAGAACCCTACCTCTGGCTATCCAATAGAAAGGCACCAACTTGGACACTTGAAGGACCCGAGGAGGAAGTAAACAGAAGACTCAGACTCACCAATACCCTTCTGCCCTACCCTGGGATGATGTAATTTTCTTCTGGAACCTAAGAGAACCCCACCACTGGATCTCTAATAGAAAGGCACTGACTTGGTTCCCCGAAGGACCCAAGGAGGAAGTAACCAGAAGAAAAGACTCGGGAGTGGTGGCGTCAAAGGATCACCAATACCCTACCACCTCCCTAAGATGCCATCCTCCTCTGGATCCTAGCCATCCAATAGGGAGGCACGGACTTGGGCCTCGAAGAACCCAAGGAAGAAGTAAAAGAGAAGACTCAGGCTCACCAACACCCTCCTGCCCTACCCTGGGATGATGTCATTTTCTTCTGGATCCTGAGAGAACCCCACCACTGGATATCTAATAGAAAGGCATTGACTTGGTTCCCTGAAGGACCCAAGGAGGAAGTAACCAGAAGAAAAGACTCGGGAGTGGTGGCGTCAAAGGATCACCAATACCCTACCACCTCCCTAAGATGACATCCTCCTCTGAATCCTAGCCATCCAAGAGGGAGGCACTGACTTGGGCACTCGAAGAACCCAAGGAAGAAGTAAAACAGAAGACTCAGGCTCACCAATACCCTACTGTCCCACACTGAGGAGGACGCCATTTTCTTCTATATCCTGAGAGACACCACCACTGGATATCTAATAGAAAGGCACTGACTTGGACCTCAAAGGACTCAAGGAAGAAGTAAACAGAAGACTCAGGCTCACCAATACCCTACTGCCCCACACTAGGGTGAAGCCATTTTCTTCTGGATCCTGAGAAAACCCCACCACCGGATATCTAATAGGAAGGCACTGACTTGGAAACTCAAAAGGACCCAAGGAGGAAGAACTCAGAAGACACAAGCTCACCAATACCCTACAACCCCACCCTGAGATGATGCCATTTTCTTCTGGACCCCACCACTGGACATCTAATAGAAAGGCACTCAAAAGACCAGAGGAGGAATTAAACAGAAGACTCAGCTTGGTGGCATCACATGACTGCAGCTTTCAGCAAGTAAAAATAGGTTTTCAGTTTAATTGATAGCAAAAAAAAAAAAAAAAAAACCTAGAGTGGGGGTGATCAGCGGTTGACATTGACGCTAGAGTAGGGCTTTAACCATTGAAAAATCAGGTGGGCAGGATCACAAATACCCTACCAACCCCTCCCCCAAAATACCATGGCTTTCTGGATCCTGAAGTAACTCGACACTGGACATCTAATAGGAAGACACTGACTTGGACTCTCGAAGAAAGACCCAAGGAGGAAGTAAACAATAGAAAAGACTCGGGAGTGGTGGCGTCACAGAATCACCAATACCCTACCGCCGCCTTAAGATACCATCCTTCTCTGGATCCTAGCAATCCAATAGGGAGGCGCTGACTTGGACACTCGAAAGACCCAAGGAAGAAGTAAAACAGAAGACTCAGGCTCACCAATACCCTTCTGCCCCACCCTGAGAGGATGCCATTTTCTTATGGATCCTGAGAGAACCCCACCACTGGATATCTAATAGAAAGGCACTGACTTGGACCCTCGAAGGACCCAAGGAAGAAGTAAACAGAAGACTCAGGCTCACCAATACCCTACTGCCCCACACTAGGGTGAAGCCATTTTCTTCTGGATCCTGAGAGAACTGTGGGGCAAAACCTCACATGGTGGGTCACTGGATATCTAATAGAAAGGCACTAACTTGGACCCTCGAAGGACCCAAGGAGGAAGTAACCAGAAGAAAAGACTCGGAGTGGTGGCATCACAGGATCACCAATACCCTACCGCCACCCTAAGATGCCGTCCTCCTCTGGATCCTAGCCATCCAATAGGGAGGCACTGACGTGGACACTCGAAGGACCCAAGGAAGAAGTAAAACAGAAGACTCAGGCTCACCAATACCCTACTGCCCCACACTGGGATGATGCCATTTTCTTCTGGATCCTGGGAGAACCCCACCACCGGACATCTAATAGAAAGGTACTGACTTGGAAACTCAATGAAGGACCCGAAGAGGATGAACTCAGAAGACTCAAGCTCACCAATACCCTTCTGCCCCACCCTAGGATGATGCCATTTTCTTCTGGATTCTGAGAACCCCACCACCGGACATCTACTAGAAAGGCACTGACTTGGACCCTCGAAGGACTCAAGGAAGTAAACAGAAGACTCAGGCCCACCAATACCCTACTGCCCCACACTAGGTTGAAGCCATTTTCTTCTGGATCCTGAGAGAACCCCACCACTGGATATCTAATAGAAAGGCACTGACTTGGACCCTCGAAGGACCCAAGGAGGAAGTAAACAGAAGACTCAGGCTCACCATTTTCCTCTAGATATCTAATAGGAAGGCACTGACTTGGGACCCTCGAAGGACCCAAGGAGGAAGTAAACAGAAGACTTCACCTCCCTTTTCCTCTGGATATCCAATAGGAAGGCACTGACTTGGACCCTCGAAGGACCCAAGGAAGTAAACAGAAGAAAAGACTCAGGAGTGGTGGCGTCACAGGATCACCAACACCCTACCACCTCCCTAAGATGCCATCCTCCTCTGGATCCTAGCCATCCAATAGGGAGGTGCTGCCTCAGACACTCAGAAAAAAAAAGGACCCAAGAAGAAAGTAAACAGAAGACTAGCTCAAAAAAAAAAAAAAAAAAAAAAAAAGGACAAGGGGTAGAGTTCAAAATATAAATCATTTATTAAAATATAAAAAATCTTTACAAATTAGTAGAAAAAAGTATGACACATATTGATCATATCACATTTATAAACAAAAAAAACGCCAAACATTTTCCACCAAAGAAAAAAAAAAAAAAAAAAATTTTACAAAAATATTTCGGATAAAAATTAAACTTACTGTACATAAAGCTTTAAAAGGTAACACTTTACAAGAGGGGAGAACATATAAATATGGCCGGGCTTTGCTGGATGCAGAAAAGTCTTCTTTAAGCAGGACAAGCAATTTGCCTATACACAGAAAAAGTGGGGGGAGGGGACGGGGGGGGGGGGGGGCAACTTCTCACAGAACCCCCCAGAGCAGGGCGCCATTTTTAAAAATCCAGGAAAGTCGATCTCATAGACGACAAAACGTTGACTGCAGCAATTTTTTTTTCTTTAGTGCCCTTCAGTCTGGCATGGTTGTAACAGCTGAAAGGGCTTACTCTGATTTCACCGCACGCTGCGAGCTTCTCACCGTGTGCATTAGAAGCTGCAGCCAGATAGAGCTCCGCCTCCTTTCCTGTCTGGAGGACGTCCAACATAATCTCTCCTCTTTGGCCCGCCCCTTTTCCTTCATTGGATTTCAGTTCTTTCAATCATGGAGACTCAGTGTCACATGTGGGCGTTACCCATGTAAATACACAGGAACGCCCACTTCTCCAGACTGACGCCCACCCATCGAAGAATTTTTTTTAAATCGTCTAACCCCTCCCATTGCTTGCATCAGGGCTGAGGGCTCTCGGGGGAGGGCTCTCGGGGAGGGGGGCTGAGGGCTCTCGGGGAGGGGGGCTGAGGGCTCTCGGGGAGGAGGGCTGAGGGCTCTCGGGGAGGGGGGGCTCTCGAGAGGAGGGCTGGGGGCTCGAGAGGAGGACTGAGGCAGGGGTGCTGTGATGTTTTCGGGAAGCTATGTACAGGCCCCCCCCCCTCCTACCAGCCATGATATGCCTGCATTGCATAGAGAAGCACAGGGACCCAGTGATGACATCAAGGTAGATCATGAAAATAGAAAACGGCTTTATTTACAGAATGTTGATGGGGGAGGGGAGGAAGGCAAGATTTAGATTAACAACGGGTAGCAAGGGCTTTTAAAACGCACTCCTGCCCTGAATCTGAAGCTCCGCTGTCCTACCTGCAGGTCCAGGACGGGTACGGCAGGTGTCAGCGAGT